CCAGCGCGCAGCGTCGCCCGAGTGCGGGCAGCTGCCCCGGCGCGCCCTGCCCGTCCCGGGAGCCGGCGAGGCCGGGCTGGGGCGGCCCGGCGCGGGAGCACCGCGGGGAGGACCGGCTGGAGTAGCGCGGGGGCGGCGGCCCAGCGCCCCGAAGTTTGCCGCGCCCGCTCGGGCGGCCGAGGTAAGTTGCGCGCCGGGCGGACTCGGGGGCGCGGGCTGCCTAGGCGTCACCGCAGCCGGCGCTTTGTGTGCGGCTCCCGGTGCTCCCGGAGCTCCCAGAGGGGAGCGGCGGCGTCGCCCTGCAAGTTGGGCCGCGGCCCCGCGCGGCAACAGGCGGCCCCGCTCGCCTCTCCCGCGCGCCCCTCTCTCCCGCGCTCCGCGCTCCGGCCCGGGGAGCGCCGACTTGGGCGCGATCGCGGGTGGGGAGAGCGTCCGGCGCGCAGCCCGGCGCCTGCAGCCCGGCGACTCCCCCGGCGCCCGGCCCCTTCGGGGTCCGCGCCGACCCGGGCTCCTCCTCCCGGGAGATGAAAGAGGGCTCTCTCGCCCTTGCCGCCTCTCCAGCGCTGCCGCCGCCGCCGCCGCCGCCGCTCCAGTGCACATTCAAGTGGAAAATTTTCAGGAGTCAGCAGAAACATTGTGTCCAAAAAAGACTGAGTCGCACTTACCACCAAACCCGAGGGCCGACTCTCCCTGGAAAACTTCCCCTCGGTAGGAAATACTGCGGGATTTGTTTGTTTATTGGAGGAGAAACGATCCCCAGGAGGGGAAAAGATTAAAAAAAAAAAAATCTGGGGACACTTTTAGCCTTTGTTCGCGGCAACACCACTTGTTTTCAAAGTCCAGAGGCCCGTTTGAAAGAAAGTTCAACTTGTAGGAGTTTTCTTTTTCTTTTTTAATGCATTAAAAAAAAAAAAATCAGTGCTACATTTTAAGAAGTCGAAAACAATGGGGGGCTCACACTTCACTTATCCTCTTCCCGAGAAAATAAAACCCAGACCAGTTTCCCTCGCTTTTTAATCGTCTTTCTTTTTAAAGATATATTTAAAGTTGAATGGTGTCACCCGTATAAAAATATTTATGAAACAATGAAATAGCAGCCACCAGCGTTCCTCAGGAGGCTTGTTAAGTTCTTAGAAGCTGTCTGTGATTTACAGAAATGCAAATTGATCTCAGTCAGCGCTGGAAACTTACAGACAGATATTCCAGGAATTGGGAGCGTAGAAAGGCCGGGTTTTAAAATAGCGCATTTGAAAGGAGCCGAGGTCCTTGGGGCAAGAAAGGTCTGTAAATACGATCAGATTTCAAGATAGTGAAAGGAAAATATTTCAATTCCTGCAGGTAGTGCAGAGCTCAGTCCTCTCCGCGACTTGTGGCCTGGAAGTTTAGGTGGTCTGCTAGCTTAGGGTGTGCTGGGTGCCTGCAGGTGGTTCCCCGGGTGGACAGATCCTTCCCGTTAGGGAGACGCGAGCTACCCGGAGCCAAGGGGCGGCTTGTCTGTGCAAGCCTCAACTCCAGGGTGGGGGCTAGATGTGCCTTGAAATCGGGGCTGGGAATCGTCCTCAGGCTGTACAGACTGTGCTGTGCAGGGGCTTCCGCCTTTCAGCGGAGTCTGCGTTTTTCTGTGAATAGCAGGATCTCTGGGCCCAGGCACATCTGAATGCTTATAAGGGCCAGACTTTAGATCCAACTTTGGTCAGAATCTTTCCTTTTTAGAAGGAAACAGTAGAGCCGGTTACACCACGTCTCCGGAAAGACAAATGCATTTAACTGAACCTTTGTCAACAGCAGGGTTTTAAACTGTTGATGATTTTTAAGAGGGAAAGCCGTATTTTTCTAATCTCTGTATTTTTCTAATCTCAGTATTTCCATAAATGGTCACAAGATATTTTTGTGCAGTATTTCTTTGAATGTGTAACTGTGTCGGACTCTCAGGTTTCAGGTTTTCAACAGAGTTTACAGTTCTCTTATTTGTTGTTGGCATAAAAAAAATGAGCTGATAAGCTGTCTCCCTTATTGAGTCTTGTTGAGGTCCTCAGTAAACCATTTTATTTTCCGTTTAATAGCAGGTATTGTTTAAACTGCAGATTTAGGGAAATATTAGAATGCTTTTTATTTTTTTAAAACAAGTTTGAAACAAAGCCAGAGAGACACTTTTGCCTTTACAAAAGAGTAAAAAATAAAAGAGGGGGGAGGGGGAGAAAGAATCTTTGTGTGAGTTCCTCCTTCCTAGGGTTCTTTATAAACTCCAGGGAACATTCTGGGATTATTGAAGATTTTTGCGCAAGCAAAGGCCAGGACTCACCAGGACATGTACACAGTTAGTTGGTGAGCTTTAATTTGAAGCAGGCAGACCTGTGACCCAGGCTGCAGTACTTACTAAGTGCACTGCGGCACTCAGTGGGTGCTTCCTTCCCACACAGCACAACTGTGAAAGTGGGCTTGTGAGGGTCACCTGGTGGGGAGTTGGCTTCCTGCCCCTCCTGTTTTCTCTCCCCCCATCTGCTGTTTCCAGCTGGGATTATGTGTTCACATATTCACTTTGGAAGCTGGCATCTTCTGATTTTGGAAGAAGACAGAAAACTAAGAAGCAATACTCTCTTTTTTTTTTTTTTTTTAAAGTTCAGTAGGACATAACCAGTTTTGATTTCCGTTGGTTCTGACCATATGCAGAAGCAAATGTAAGAAAGTCTATCTTTATGGGACTATCTGTCCAGACTTGTGCTTGTTCTCGTATTGACTGTGGGAAAGTATATTACAAGAGCAGTTGAGAGATGGGGACCCTGAGCGTGAGACAGGCCATTAGCAGCATCAGGGAGCTGTTGCCAGCTTTGGAAATGGATAGATCCCACCGCCCCCAATCCATGGCTGTACAAGAAAGAGCCTGAGCATCTGTAGGATTACTTTCCTCTCTAATCTCATGTGTTACGAGTTAATTGTGAGCATAATTATACTGCTTGCAAATGGAAATTGTGATGGTGTCTTATCACTCCAGAGGTCCCTACAGATAACTGTGTACAACTCAGTGGGCTTAAAAATAATGACCACATCCATGCAGAGAAATTAGGGCCCTTGCATCAAAGCTACCATTTTTGGTGCTCGTTTCTGTTCCCCAATAAAGGGAGTATGAAAGCAGAAAAAAGTACATATATGTGTGTGAGTGTGTGTGTGTGTGCGTGCGTGTGTGTGTGTGTGTGTGTGTGTGTATTTCTGAGTAAGAGCTGTGCGGAATCTATCTAGTGATACAACATTGAGTAGGGTCTGTTTGTTCCCCCCACCCCCAGAGGCTTAAATTCTGGTTAAAGCGAGTGCTCCCCCTTTTCCTCCCAAACCGCAAGAAAATCATCATCATTTTTATTAATCAAGGCAGGCCCAGCTTCTCTTTTAGAGTTCGGTGGCTGGAATTGCAGACTGCTTGTGTCCTACTTCTGAACTCAGTAAGAAAAATGTTACCGTTGCTCACCCTCATTGACCAACATAAGCTGTGCCTGACTGCCTGATCCCTGGTGATGGCTGCCATCATGTTCTGTAGCTGCGTGCTGCTTTTTCTTGTATTAGGTGTAGAGGCTTCAGATCGTGTAGTGTTAATATGTTTTACTTCATATTGGTTAGGGTGATAATACCAAGCAGTTCAGGTCTGTCTTCAGCACCAGGTCAGGGCTGGGCTTTTGGTTAGCCCCTGTGGTGTGGCAGCTACTGTGCGGATCTGGACAGGGTGTTCCATCCCTCTAGCTTCTAGGGTACAGTGTGTCATGTTGAAATATTTGGGTTTCCATTTTTTGGAGGGTTTTCGTTTGCTTTCAGCGTAAACTGGGTTGCCAGTCCTTCGAGGTTCTCCCTTTGTGGGCTTCCTTAATGCTGGTTCATGTACATCGAACTTGAGGTCGAACTGTGGTCATTTCTTTGGAAATGTTCAGGCTTTGCCTTAGGGCAGAGTGGAAGAATTTTGAAACATAATTTTTCACTTGGTCTAGGCAAATGGCAAGTTTTTGTTTTTTTGCAGGGCAGGGATCCGGTAAGGTCCGTGCTTCCCAAAGAGTGGCCTACTGTCAGCCCACCCTCCCATTTTGTTCACTAAACAGCTGGGATGGTTTCCTCAGTCTGGGGGGAGGATGATGGACACACGCATACACACACATACACTTCTGATTGGATTGTGAGAGTGGCATTCCAGAGAAGCTGTCTTTTCAAGGGAGGGCTATGCACCCACACACCTCCATTTCAAGCTGGTGCTTTTTACCTTCTTTTCGTATTCCCACTAACTAGTCTTTAGGGCTCTGTCGGAAGATTTTATTAGCTGTGTTTATCTGAAGCACGCCCCGTGTAGCAGAACTTGAGTGTGCTGTGTAGCTGAGGATAGTCCCGAACTCGTGATTTTCCTGCTTTTGTGGCTCATGTGATGGATTACAAACCTGTGTCACCGCGCTGGGTTTATATCACATGCTTGCTTGGGCTCACCCCCGGGTCTCATGTGTGACAGGCAGCCCCTATAAGGACCCGAGCCACGGAGCCACGTTGTCAACCACGTATTATCGCTTGTTAATTGGGAAAGAAAGGGTGTCGGAAAATGAGCTCAGACATAAACTTGGGACTAACTGATGACAAAGTTAGGCATCGCCTCTGCAGGGGAAGTTCTGGGAGGCTTCTGACAGGTTTAGATGCAGCAGCGAGGTCTGGGAATACAGACCAAACTGATAGGTAAACTGAAAAACTGTCGATAATGGTGGCAAATGTTAATTGTGTGAGAACATACTGAACTTATATTCTCTGGCATGAACTTTTTTTTTTAATACATCAACTGTGCTGTCTTTTAAAAAAATTATAAGCACAGCTTTCTAATTATCATAATTCAGTTCAGCTTCGCTCTTGGATGGAGTTCAAGTGCAATCTCAACTTAACTTGAAAGGAGATTTTTTTTTTTTTTTAAATCTGAGAATGTTTAAGAAAATTTGAGAAGTTCATCCAAGAATGTTGTCCGCTTAGGTGCGGGAGTAGTGGTCGGCAGATGAAATCAGTCCCTTTTTGCAGTAGTTCTGTGGGTATTGAAGCCTTCCGCCTCCATTTTTGCTTTGGACCACCTCAGGGACCTGCATCTGAGGGCAGTGTTTATGTCCCTTGCCGATACATAGCTGCAGAGTCCTTACTGCCAGTCAGTGTCTGTAGTAGGTGGTCGGCTAGATCAATGAGTATTTTATGATCATCTGCAAAGACAGGAAAATCTCTAAGAAAATAGGAAGACACGTAGAACACTTACACATTCATTTGAGAAAATCCCGGTCAGCCTTTCATGCCAGCAGAGCCTTTGGAAGGTGGTACCTGCTTGTCTTCACACCATGACTTCCTGGTGGCTTTGACAGCATCTGTCCCAGTTCCCCATATCCTAAATATTTTCTATGACCTTACTGTCTTACTCAAGGAAAACGAAGTTAACGAAGAAAGGACAACTTAGATGGGCCAGTTCCTGCTGCCGAAGTGCAGAGAGAACCCACAGAAACCAAATGACTTCATTTGCTCTGGCTCCGAAGAACTGAATTCACTTCCATGGTGGTGGAATAAAAGAAGCCAAGTGTTTTAAATAGCCACTCCCCGAGGCCCGCCTGGCCTGAGTGTTTTTTGAGAAAAGAGCATTGTCTGCTCCTGCACTCGCTGGGAGCCTGCCTGCTTACCCTCCCCCACCAGCCATACTCCAGCCCTGAAGCTGACATCTGCTTTTCT